AACGCCCCCTCCATTACTCGACACACGCCTCGAAGCCTCGGCTCATCTCATAACATCACTACTGACTTCCCTGGAACCTGAACCTGCACCTAACCTGTTTTGTCCTCTCTGCTTTCCAGGAAGATCCCTGTCTGAACTCAATAAACCTTTGGACTTTTTCTCTGCCTCTGTGTGAGTGTTCTGCATCTGGCCTAGAAATCCTGCCGATCATGACATATATATATATAAATCTACACACATACATACATAAATGCATACATATATAAAAAGAAAATAGAAAAAATAGATATATTGTTAAACTCAAAAACTGCACATATACACTCCATATATGTAATGCTCTGAGGCCTTCACGAAGTGATCCTCCAGCCCTGATGTCAACAACCCGTCGATTCAAACAAAAGTACCCTGCACAGTGCTGAGGCATTCTCTTCTGTTCTATGTAAACAAGCAGGTTGGGGTAGCTGGTTGACCTCCCCAAGATGGCGCCTGTAATTTCTGTGCCGCAACAATCAATACGGGGTCTACTATTATATGTATATCTATGGTGGCATCCATGTGTTAGCCATCTAAGCTATCGTTAGCTGGAGCCACCTGCCTGCAACACAGTGTGTCTAACATTAAAACCTTGAGAAAGATACTTTGCCTCAATGAAATGTAATAAATGTGGTGCTCGAATCATTCAAGGAATAGTTACAGCCCTGTTAAAAAAAACAATACTTTCTTTTAAAAGAAGAAATTTCATTCAGCAACCCAAATCTAAATTTAAAACATTATGAAATTTTAAAAGAAAGATTGAAGAGAATCAAAAGAGGAAAATGCAAATTAAAAACAAACAGGGCCCGTTTATCAAGCTGGACGTCGATAAATACATAAAGGGAAAGATTCTCATAGAAAGATTGAGGTTATTTTATCTTAGTTGTAGCGAATCAAAATAAATGAAATCTGGATCAATTAAAAGAATGTCGGACATCTAAATATACATTAATGTGGCAAAAACAAGTTAAACCAAATAATAACAAAAAATACGAAT